CTCAAACCCCGGTTTCCCTCACCCACGTCCTCTTGTGTCGGCTCGTCTGTGTGCCGACTGAAACACTTTTTGCAGCGCTTGCAAAAAACAAAAAAACAAAAACAACAACAACAACAAAAAAAAAAACAGGGGGAGATGCATCCACGGGACAAATTCAACACTGCAAAAAGCGCAATCGCAGTAGGCGCACCACTGACTCGCGCCCATGCAGGCGCGTGCAAGAATGCCCACAATTAAATGCAGCAGGCGAGGCGAGGCGAGGCGAGGCGCGCGCAATCACACCGTTTGATACCGGCGCGCGCGTAATCTCCTCTGCATTTGCTATAACCGAGATTGTTTCGGGGAAATCAGAACAAACAATTGTTATATTTTATTTTTGTTATATATATATATATATTTTTTACAAACTTCAGTATTTTTGTTTTTTTAAGTGATATAATTTTCCGCAGTCAATCACAAAACTCTGATTTTTTGGAGTATTGTATTTTGTCCACAAGAGGGAGTATAACAATCCCTCATAAATTTATAGTTTAAGTCTAATGTCCATTTTTCTATTTTTGCTTTTTTACATTTTGGCTTTATTACCCCATAATCTTTGTAATACCTCTGGAAACATTTCCCAACTTAGTAGAACACAAAACGAATCTCACATCACTCCTTCACTACTTTTTGTTCCTTTGCAAAATCACAACCTCCATGATTTACAGTTCTGAAAAATTTTAAACCTAATAGTTTTTCTTTATTAATAATTAAAATTGTGGATCAAAAAGCAGCTTTCAAATGATATTTTATTAAGTCAATGAAAAAAGTGCAATCAATCTAGCCCCATAAGTAATTGCCCTGAACACTGTTTACTCTTTGACGGGAACAATTGGAGTCAATATTTTTTGATCATTGGAGATTCCTTTTTTTAACCAGCCTGTTGATTTTCAAGCCACAGCCTCTCAATCAGATGTAAGTCTAGACTCTGACCAGGCTTTCCTTTTCTATTCTTTTCTCTACTGAGTGAAGTTACCCAAATGATTTTTTTTTTTCTGAATTCCTCAGTTTGAGAAAGTGTGATGTCTCGATATTCAACCTTTGGGTAATTTTATCCTAAAGACACTGAACGGTTTAGCACCACAATACATCAAAGATCTGCTGTTGTTGTATCAACCTTCCAGACCTCTCAGGTCTTCTGGTTCTGGTCTGCTCTGCATCCCCAGAACCAGAACCAAGAGAGGAGAAGCAGCTTTCAGCATCTATGCACCAAAACTTTGGAACAAACTTCCAGACAACTGTAAAACTGCAGAAACCCTGACTTCTTTTAAATCGCAACTAAAAACACACCTGTTTAGCATTGTTTTTGAAATGTAATATGTAACAATGTATTGTCTATTATGTGTTGCATGACTTTGTGTTCTTGTGTTTATGATGTAAAGCACTTTGAAATGCCTTGCTGAAATGTGCTATACAAATAAAATTTGATTGATTGATTGATGAGAGGACCCGTGCAGACCAGCTTCTTCTCAAGTACAGAAAGGGGAATGAAAGAGGATTGGGGAAAGTGAACAAAATTAGAGAATGAATGTTATTGCAAAGAGTTTAAGAAGAAAAGGACACATGAAGATGTATTACCGAGGATTTGTTTTCCTGGACATGGAGATGGGAGCGATTTTATGCTCCTTTCTTTCCCCCATTCGCTCTCTGCTTGCCTCTGCTTTCCTCTGCTTTCCTTCATGCTCTCCCAGGGTCATGTATTATGCATTATCAGAAATAATTTAGCAAAACTTCTGCTTTTAAAAGCCTCCTCACTCGACCCAGCTGCCTCACTTTAATGTAGAAAGGCCACTGATGAAACAGGCCTCAAACTCATAGTTTGCGTGAGTCCACAGAGTGCAATCAGTAATCCTTTTAAAATGTGTGTTTGATTGATCCAACCAACCACAGATACTGGATATGTTGCACTGGATTATCCTTTAGTGTCAGCTGGACTGGAAAGCATGGAAGAGAGTAAGCATGTTATTTTTTTGTGTGTGATCTTAAACAAGATAGTAAAACTATATGCTGCCTAAGCAAGTCTGAAATATTGTTTTGGAAATGACACCTGCTGTTTTTCCATTGAGGTTTGCGGCTGTTTCCTGTGGCAGGATGTCAAACATGGCTGCAAAAAGTAAGGCAACCTCCATCCCACTGCAAATTCTGTTGGGTTCTGATCAATGGAGTTTACATATGTATTTCTTAGGAGGACAAGTCTGAGGACAGATATGTCCTTCCTCATATCTCACCAATCAAAATATGGATTTAAAGTTTGTGGAACCCTCAGCAAGTGGAGGCAGAAGGATAAGAGGAAAAAATAGATGGTCCTCAACTGCTTATGATTCAGAATTGTATTTTTATTGCTGCTTACAAAAAGTCATGTGTTTCCCAGTTGTTCCTCAGCACTGAATGTAGTGGGAGTAATGTTTGCGTTGATACTGATTGCAGCAATAAAACCACAAGACCAAGACACATAGGCAGGCGCCTATTTTACATTTGAAAGATGATATCTAAAACGGAAGTTGCTGTTTCTCATCACTGCGGAGAATAGGGTGTGTCTTCTTAAGCTTTGTCAGCATGCTTCCTGTCTCTGTTATTCTTCAGATTAAAAGGAACTGAAACCATGACTAAAATCATTTATAACAGATATGTAAAAGGCTGTTTGGTGTGTAAATGCAGTTGTCAGTATAAAATCTAAGGCTTTCTCCATCACCCAAATAAATTTGCACACTGAAATTCCAGTAACAGAAGTGAGAAGGTGCACCAGTGATTTAAAACATGGCCTAAGATGATTATAGATAAATCATTTCAATAAACTTTAAATGCAGTATGAGGTCATATTACAGTGTCCACTTGGTAACAAAGATTTTAAACATCTGGGCCTGATCATCTCAAAAGGTTAAATTATTTATGTCAATATGTTGGCAATGCTTGGCTGTCCTCAAAATATATGCCAGGAGTGGCTCATTTAAACTCACAATAATTTACATTTAGCATTGTTATTTACTGAGATCAGACTGTGGAGGACATGACAGCTACATGTATCTGTTTTTACCAGAAGCCAGTGGCAGTAAACAGTAAGAATGCTTATCTAGCAACACCAGTGAGTGATAGTGAGGCAAAACAAACAAACAAACAAAAACCAGTTCATTCACAGAAATGTGATCCAAGCAATCCAGATGCCATTAAAGGCAGAAATTTAAATGTATTCTGTATATACTGAGTCAAACTGAACTGTTGATGCATAGTAACAGCTTATTTAATGGACTTTACTGACATCTAGTGGTTAACAGGAATTAGAAAAACAATTGAGCTTTTTTCTAAAGCCAGTCAGGGTGAACCAATCACAGAAAGGGGGGAATTATAGGATTTAAGATCAGATAATTATATGATGATTATCTGGTGATGATGATATCAATTATATGAACCCGAGTCAGTGATATTTTCATCAGCAACTTAACCTTAATGCTAAATCAATTCATAAATATGGTTGCTTGCAAATTATTTTGTAATTACCATGTAATTATTTAAATCCTTGAGCAGTTTTAGTTTTATTTTATGTAATATTAGGAGTATATTTTGAAATCTCTGTAAAACGGGGAAAATCCACACATTTAAAAGATTTTTAAATACTAGAACTATTTCTTGGTTCCAGTTTGAAGTTGAAACCCCGTTGTAAGTTTTCTGCGCAAATTGGTAGATTTTATGCTGCGGCACTCTCTGCTGCAGGGAAACCTTGTATGTGCATCAGTTTATAACACAAACAAGGAACTTCTGCTGTAACTTGACTTTAAAGCTGTAAGGAGCCATCTGCTCTTTCGTTACTATCACTAACAAACACACACGTCAGCCTCTGACATGGTGGGCTGTACATAAATTATAAAGTCTGAAGATAAGACTGGAATGCAACGCAATACATCCAATAAAAATAATTAGGTTTCATGGTGTTGATGCAAACAGTGAAATCCCCGACCTTTCAAAACTGATAAAGAAAATCATTTAATGACAAGTTACCTTTTATTGAATTTGATTGTAAATTAGATTCTCTTATCTTTCACAGGCATGACATGAAGAACTTAATTGGTATTTGGACTTCAGCTCAGACTCATAAAAACAAATGTAGTGCTTCTCTTTTCCACCAGATGGTGGAAACAAACTTTCTGAGTGTTAGATGCTTCTGATAACCAGGTGATACTTGAAAATATGGATATTTAATCATTTTAAGTACCTTTCTTTGCTTTTTTCCTGAAAACAAATTTGCAAAAGTTCTTAAGTTATTACTTACTTGCTTTTGCAAGTGCAAAATGCTCCTGACAAAATGTTCTTATCACATCCAATAAGACTTTGTGCCCCTCGGCTGAGAAAAACTTGGGCTTTAATGTTAATTTCTCGGGTGTTTCTTGCAAATAACCTTACAGACCTGATGTGCGACTCATTGGAGAATATTTCTGCCTCTCGTCTTTGCCTCAGCATTGGCTAAAGCAAAAATGTTTCAGGTAAAGCATTGAGTTTTTATACCTCTGCCATTATAACTGTTTATTTGTTGGAAGTTTGCTCTTCTTCTGCATGGGGCGGAGCATCATGTTTAAGCTTGACCATCCAAAGCACCAAAGGTTAGCCCAGAATTGAAGGTGAAAGTAGCTGGGAGGAAGTTACAACTGGATGGACAGGAATTTATTCCTGTCCATCTCATGACTCCAATTTGGTGTCCTGGTGAGTTTAAAGGAAAAAGAAGGCAATTACTTTAAGCAAGGAGAAAATGACAATCTGTATTATACTTGCTAATTTCTGGGTTAATTCATTCCGTCCGTCTGTCCGTCCATTTTCTTACACCCTCGTCCCTAGTGGGGTCAGGAGGTGTGCTGGTGCCCATCTTCAGCGTGGGTTAATACCAATCTCCTTATTTTTATTATAAGATGATGTATAAATCTTAATAAAAGTTGCAGAGCACAAAAAAAAAAAAAAAAAAAACACAAGCAGACTCAATATGTCCCTTTTAATAATTTGATTACAGTTTTTAAGGACCTAATAACCAGCTATACCCATGATGTTTTTCTGGTTTGCGAATGATTTGTCAAATTACCGGTAAAAAAATATATAATTGGATTTTACAGTTAACAGAGCAGCATTACAGGAAGGAAATACCTAATTGGATATCAGGACCTTTCTGTGTGGCCTTCCATTCAGTGTGTCAGTTTAGTTTTTCTTCATGCACAACTAAAAAAATAAAAAATAAAAAGACAAACAGAACAATTTGTGACTCTAAACTGAGAATTGGATTGCTGGGGTAACAAACTGTCCCAATTTTGCACCCGAGACATATCCTATTCAATTTTCTATTTTTTAAAGGATAAAAAGGGTTTTGAAAAAATATAAACAAATTTATTTATAAAACTTTATTTTATTCTTCTCAACTCAACAGCTGTGGCTCTTTGAACAGTCTCCAAGTGATAAACTCAAACAACAAACATAGTACATATACATCAAACAACACAGCGCCATCTATCTCACTGAAACGTGAACGGTCTACAGTGAAAGAAATCTTAAAAAGAATGAGAAGGATGACAATGGGGCTGTCAAAATGTCACCTGTGACTTGAGATTTCTTCTTCAAAAAATGAGGAATTAAATCAGGAAAAACATTAAATATAGTGATCAAGAAGCTAATAAAAATACATATTTATTTTTGATTGCTCTATATGGTTTGTAAGTGAGTACTTCTGGTTCTTTTGGTAAATTTCCACAAACTGCATGTGAATCTTTAGTCTGATCAAAAGTGGTTACATTCAACTGTGGAGTGCCACAGAAACAATATGATATATAAAATAAATGCATTATCTTTTGTATACAATGTTTTCTTTTTGGCTTAAACACTGGTTCTGCAACAATTTATTCCTGAGGTTGCAACACTGTCTTAATTCTGATCTATGTGAAACAAACAGGGGGATGCACAACAATAATTATTCTGATTCTGAGGATGGAAGTCAAACATAGAAGCAAAGTGACATCCTGCAGGTTCTGAATCTGGCAACAGTCATTCAGTCTTGCAAACCTTTAAAGCCTTCATTTTTTGCTTTGCAACACTTGCTGCTTGCTTGTTCAAGTTTTCACAAAGAGACATGCACATGCCACAGTGTCGTGATGCAGTTACACAAGATAAATGAATGAGGATGCAGAAAATGCAGAATATTTAGGCATAGCCAATCAGACGCAAGACACTTCATGACTCTGGACATCTTCACAAGAGTGGCTTCAAGCATAAAACAGCCAAAAGTTTGCCCCTTTGCAGGCGGGATCTTCTTCACAAACATTAAAGGAAACTACTAAAACACAAAATTCACCGACTGTACCTACTGGAGACAGGGTGTGCAGAAACAGTGAAGGAACCAATACGAACAACTGTCAGGAGACCAATGCGAGGTAGCATCGATGAGGGGAGCAGTGGGACCTGAGAGAACAAACTTGCAGCGCTAAGTAAATGCTTAGATTTGCATTTGTGTGTATAAAGAGAACACATATAGCCCTGTGAGAGCAAGGGAGGTGCATGAGCTCCTTTCCTTTGCAGCTGGTGGAAAAAAAAAAAAAAAATCTGACACAAATAAATCCTAAGCTTGTGAGCGAGTACCGTGTTCTGATGTGTGTGCAGACTGGGGCAGAGCGCAGAGAGAGCAACTCTACCATACGTTAGTGTATAGACATCTGAATAACTGACAAGCAATTAATCTTTTTTCTAGGAGCAAATGCAAAACTCCTCTTTGAAGTTTCTCTTTTGTCAAAGGGCAAGATCAGTGTCACCAGCAGAACAATAACAATTTTACAAAGCAGATAATATAAAATAAAAAAACCCAAAACATTCAACTTCTGAAATAACATCATACAGTAGCATATTTTTCAAAATGAATTTAAGATCAATTGAAAATACATGCACAATTTTCATGGACAATATTTCTTCCTTTGTTTTTCACAACACTGTAACATTGTAGGTTGGTTTAATCTTGTCTGTTACAAACACGTATGAGACAAATAAACTATAGGAAATCACAGACATACATGTTCTTACGCAGAAAGGAAAAGGAAACAGACAGCCATTATTAACAATTTTACATTATAGCGGTATTGAAAAAAAAAAAGAGATGAATGGAATTAAACTATGATAACAACAGGTGGGGCAGGAGTTAGGGCAGGGCTTGCTTGGTTGCATTGCATGTCATGAGGTCAAGGCTCAAGACTGCTGGCCACCCCACTGACTCTCCACAGGCCTTCGCAGAAGCTCCTCCACATGCCTTGCCACGTCCATGGTGTCATCGAGGTCAAAGTCGCCGTCTCCATCCAACACGGGGTCAGCCCTGTCAAGGGAAGTAGAGACCATTCATGTCAGGACATTGGCAACAAAATCCACACAAAGGAGATGATATTTTTGAGGGTCTTGTTAACTTACATAGGAGGGTACATCGCATAAGTTTGAGAGTGATTAACAGGTGCTGGAGAGGCACTCTGATCCATATATGTTGGATTTCCACTGATTGGGTCTGGATTAGCTGTAGCAAAGCTGCAAAAGAAACCCCCGCCCCCAATAAAGAAATAAATTAAACTGAAAATCTGGAACAAAAGATTGACAAAAATTGATTCGGCAGTTTCCTCAGCAACAATTCTCAGCGTGCTTCCTGTGCTTTTCTATATATTCGTGTCCATTTTCTGAAGCGCTGCGAAACTTACCATGGAGATAGGCAGGCGCTGCAGCTTCATAACTAACAAGCCTAACTCATATGATGAGTGGAAGACAAGCTCATGCAGGAACCCCCGCCATCTTTAATTGGCCTCCTCCAACTGTAACAGTTAACTAATGGCTAAACTGAATTCAAGGTCTGGCCCTTGGTGATTAACTCTAAATACTGCTTCAGAATAATAACAGGGAAGTGGATGGCAGAGAAGGAAGAGTAGAAAGGCAAAACAGAAATGGAGGAATAAGAGGAAAAGTACAGGCAGGAAATACTTACTCAGGCACTACTTGTCTGATTTGTGGTTTCACATAACCATCCACCGCTTTAGCTATAAAAAAAAAAAAAAATGGGAAAATTGCAAAAACAAATTAAATCTTTTGCAAAAACATACATCATCTTCTTGCTTCAGTAATTTTGGAGCTTATTTGAACAGAGTTTCTTACAGAGGGGTGGTGTGTAATATTTGGCAAACACCTCATCCTTGGGTCTGTCAGGATAGAGGAACAGGAGGTGATTGAGATCACTAATTCGGTCAGCCAGAGAGCGAATGGAGAAGTCTTTAGTTGTGTAGGGCATCAGATTCCAAACCATCCGCTCACCTAAACACACAGAGTCAACTATCAACAACAGCAATCACACTCTCCCATTTCTTTCAAGGAGAAAATTTCAGATGATGAGATGGAATCAGAACAGAAACTAAGTATTATCACTGGGTGAAGTAACAGTTGTTTATTTACAGAACACATCATCAAGCAAATTTTAAGGCTAACCTAAGAATACAAGAATAAAATGCACTTGTCAAGATAAAAAAAAAAAACAATCCCAAACAACTTCGTCCTGTATGATACCATCATTAAATTGTGAAAGAATGAAAAACTAGATTTTTTTTGGCTTAATTTCACCAGCCACATCCAGGTTTGATTACTGATTGACTTCTTTGTAAATGTGCTCTACCCAGAATTCATCTAGAGACAGTTTTTGCTTGTTTCAAATTCTGTTATTGCATTTTAGGCAAAATATGTTGCAGCACCTGTAAATGGTTCGACTTCACTATGTCTAACCATAGTGAAATCAGGAAGATGCATTACCATGAGACCATCTGTGCCGCAACAATCTGACCATTTAGGACTTTGCCAACAGGGACCAGTTTGTAGGTAATCAGAAACAGCCACTGATTGAATAAATGAATAATGAAATGAAATGATGAAGTAAATAAACTTTGAGACACTCGCACATCTTCCAACATGTGAGCTGAATGAACGAAGCAGGTCATTCAACTTTTGCCCCCAACCACTGACTTATTAATGTCATTACTCAACATTAAAAAAGATTTGGGGGACAAAGTCATCATCTCATCTATTTGAAGTCAAGTGAAACTTTCCGAGGAGTGTCTTGACAACTCCAGCGAAGGATCTTTGTGCTGCCTGCTGCATGAAATACGCTTTCAAAAAAAACCACAAGAGAAGCCAGTAAAACTTCGGGTCCTTCCTGAAGAGTTACTAACATTAAATTTAAGCTTTGGGAGGGGGTATCGAAAGACTTCACCTTCATCGTAAAGTCAGAAGTCTTTTGAAGGGTGGTTTTCATTTCTTCAAACAGCCCCTGAACTTTATAATTGATATTGACTATTCTGGAAAGCTGGGGCCTCAGAGATGTCTTTGCTGCTGCAGCCAAACCCATGCTTTGGCCACAGCTGTGGACCAGACACCAGATGTCTAGATTTTTAGAAAGTGGGATCAGTCAAGACACAAATGCCCTAAACAGCTGGATTAAAGGCACTTTTTTCACAAATGAAGAAGCCATCTCCTGAATGGCAGGATCACAGCTCTATTTCATTTTTAGAACCAGAATTGCTTATTTGGAGAATCACTTTAGAGAACTGTAAAACTATTTGATAACCTCTTGGATCCATTATACAGCAGTGATTGCTCTGACATAATTGAGAGCTGTGAATACACACAGTATGATGAACAGTGTAAGACAATGACTGAACATAAATGCTCCGCCTAAAACAAAACCGACTGCAAAAAGAACATCTCTTAAATAAAAAATTATGTTTAAAAGGAATAGAGCAACATGGTTGCAAAGGGTCCTTTAGAAATGATTCAAAGAAAACCACAATAAACAACACCAAAGTTATGAGAAATGACAAATGTTGCGCATTTGTCATTTCAAATGCGTAACATTTGAAATGAAGAGGTCAACACAACTAACTAGTGATACCAAGCTGTTTTCCTGTTTTTCTTGTGGTTGACGCTTCACTAGCTTCAAAGCTGTGCAAAGAATAACATTTCTGAAAGGGATGCACACATTGTCGGACTCATTTGCATATTCTAAAGCTAAAACAAGTTTCAAATGTGACATCCAGCACATCCTACCTGCTTTGTTGGGATTTTCTGCTACCCACGCAATTGTTATACCTCCGATCTCAGAGTCACTGAAGCGCAGAAGAAAGGTGCCATTGGGTTTGGACATCAGCATATCTTGAGCCTGCTGCTTGTTCACAAAGCCCAGAATTGCTCTACAAAGAGAATGTTGCATATAAATACAAAGAAAGAATTTCTAATTTAACAATTTTTTTGTTTTGCTAGTTGCCATGGGAAACATGAAAAGAGACTATATGAAAACATTTAGTGCCTTAAAAAGTGAAATAAAACATTCAAAATGAAATGAATGAAGTTCAAATGAATGAATGAATGTAGTGTTTTATTTAACGTGTCTGATCTGCCACAGCTTAACACTAAAACTGAATTTACAGCTTCCTTACCCGTCATTCCAGTGAGGCTTGAGATGCTTCTTTGTAAGTTCCATCACACCATCAAACCACTGCCAAAATGTGAAGTTCCTTCCTGGAAGGCTTTCCTGTGGACAGAAAAAATGTTGGGGGCAAAATCTCCTGAAAACCATGCAGGATGTAGTTTGACTGATTTTTAAAAAATTTTTTTACATTTTTTTTTACATTTCTCTAAATCAGCTTGGTTCACTTAAATGATTATTTAGGGACAAGACTTTAGCAAGTAATTTTTGATTAATACATATTACATAGATTTTAAAGCATTTAAATTTTTAACAATTATTCTTATGTTATTTGTTGAAAATGGTCCCACCCAAAATCTTTGTATTTGCGCATTTAATCTGACACACATGTCTGCAAACCGCAACACTGGACAACAAAATCGCTTCTCTTGGCTTATTGGAGCCAAGAGATAAACCAGTCTTATGGGACCCTGGAAAAGACTGCTGTTGCTGTTACATGTGTATTGTGCAAAAAGGAGTCAGCCTGTCAAGGCAAAAAAAAAAGAAAAAAAAAAAATTATCTCAAGGAGAGGCATCCCCAGTGCCAATGTTACTGTCTACATTTCAAAAGAACTATTTTCTCAAAGAAGATTCTGAAATACTTGAAAACTGATGAATGGGCACAATTCTTTGGCTTTGCACCAATTTTATGATTACATTATGTAAATAATTGCTCAAAAACAAGAAATATGCTGTTGAGCTCACCTTTCTATTTATTCAATGATTTAGCAGCTAGAGGGGTTTTTAAACTGAAAATGTTGCTTTTGTAGATAGTTTTTAATTAAAATGTTAATTGCAATTAATTAACTTGAGTTAAAACTTTAATCGAGTCCCACCACTAATATATAATTTCCACCGTCTATGTGCATTGCGTGAATGGATACAGCTGTGTGTTCGTGTATGACCTTGATGCACTTTTTTCTAAAGGGTTGACACAAAGTGGTTTGATCAGCCAATGAGAAAGATAGTGTATGGTGAAGAGAGATACATTTCCAGTCCATAATGGCTGTTTTAAGCCAGTAAATGGAGCCTCCGACATTGTTCTATGTGGACAAATAGGACAATTAAGATGCCAATGAAGAATTCTCACTCAAGATGACCACAGAAAAGAGCAGTGAGGATGCCACAAATGAAACAGGAAATATTTCTGTGTATGAATCTCTTACTGACAACAAAAGCTACCAAAAGAGCAAAGCTTGTGGTTGAAACACATTATGTACTATGAGTTAAGGGCTTTAAAAAAAGAAAATCTAAATAAAGTGATAAAACTCTGATGATAACAGATAAACTGAACAGTACTTTAGAAAGCTACATGTTTGCTCAGAGCATCACGAGGTAGGCAGACTGGTGCTAACCCTGTTAAACTGTGACCAGGTCATCGTCATGCTCCGGTAGTCATCAGGATTGTTGCTGGAGCTGCTGAAAGCTTTCTGAGCCAGGAAGACCAGGTTCTCCTCAGACAGCCCTCTGTTGCTCTGCACCTCCGCCTTGTACTTCATGTTGATGGCTTCACACAGCTGAGGCCAAAGCACCTTATCTGGCACGAGAAAAGGCACTCGACCCTGATGGGAACAAAATGTAAAAAACTTCTAGTGACAAAAATTAACCTGTATTCATATAAGCAGCTTTTTTGTTTATGGCATTATGAATTGTGCATTAATCAATGACTTGATGCCTAATTTGAATTGCTAAATAATATTATGACATACAAGCTAACTACCAGTAGCAATGCAAGTAAATAAGACGAAAGCTGAATGTTTATTAACAAGATGTGTACACAACTACATGTGTGACTTCATGACCAAAAGGAAAGAAAAAAAATTCTAACCCAACTTTTACTGCCTTTATTAAAAAGTTAAACACCAAGCCCTGTTACATTAATGTGCTACCTTATAACCTTAGTATTTTCTTAGGTGGTAAATGTTTAAAAATAAAATGTTTTTATAACTTACTTTCTATTAAAGTGTAAAGGACAGTACACTTTAATAGTGTACCGTCCTATTAAGAATACAAATTTGTATATCTCCACAAAATATTCTTGAAAACAAGCTTTCACATTGATTATTACAGGCCTGACTAAAATAATTTTTTCTATTATTGTAGGGTACATATATGTTTAAACTCTACTGGTACTAAATGCAGAAAAGATGCCTCAACTTTTTTTTATGACTTCACTATTTAATGTTTAAAAACTGTATTACTACCATTTTCAGAGCTATGAGATTTGTCTCCAGTTTATATGACATTTAATAGATTTAATTATTCACTTGGGTGTTCATTTTATAACTTTGAACTATTGTTTCCTTTAAGGAGAAAAGATAACAAGACACAAATGAAAGCCAAACAATTCAGTTTAGTCTTTTTTTAATCTAAATGTTCTGGAAGAGATAAAAATGCACAAAAATTTCAAAACTGCAACCACATCTACAGAAAATTTAGAAAGCAATCCCAGAAAAACATTTTACTTACTGCCTCTGCAAACGCATTGTCCCATAATACAGTTGCTGTGGCATTATTGTCTTGACTACCATGAACTATCACCACAACAGGAAGTGATAATGTCTGTTCAGAGAAAAAAACAAACAATTCAGTCGGCACATGAATGCAACCAAGATTGTGCACATAAGGAAAAATGTATAGAAATATCTGCAAATCGTATGTTTTATCATAAGCTTAGATTTTTTTTGAGGATAAGCAGATTTCAACAATTACAAAAAACAACCGATTCCAGTCTTTTTCTATAAATGTTAATGTGACTATTGTTGACTTTTGTCTATGTATAACCTTACCTTAACTTGAAAGACAAGTTCATTGCTTCCAACACTAAACTGAGACTCAAACAGGATGGTGAACTTCTCTTCTGTGACTGACTCTGCTCCACGTCTATCCGACCGTTTGATCCTTTTCAAAGACTACAAAAAAAAAAGATATGACACGATAAATTAGTTTATGCACAGGATAAACAGTAAGGACATGCAAAATTACCTGTAAATATAAATAATCAATAAAAAGCAATGGGGATTAACCACAACCAAGATCTTCAAAAAGCATTGGTGGCAGACTATCAATCTGGGAACATTTTGTTTTTTCCCCACCACAATATATATTTCAGGCAGGAGACTGCAGCCCATTTGGACCAGAACTTCCCTTCACAAGATCAGTTTCTTTTCCTCAGCCATTAGACTGTCGAACAAGACTCTAGCATAACACCTCATCCATTTGCTACTCTGCACCCGTTTACATATTAAATATTTTTCATATTCATATTCTTTAACATTTTTTTTTCACCATCATATCAAATCAGTTTCCTAGCCTGTGAACTTGTTCACTGGCAATTACAATAAAGTGATTCTGATTTGTACCTTTTTAAGTGGCAGAATAAAAAAACACAAAAAATTAAATACTGATTACAAAACAGTGCTACCTGAATAAATTAGGTACCCTACATATAGGAAAGTATGTCATATAAAATATAATTTAAAAAATCCAACTATACTGAAGGAAAATCATTTTAACAAATCAAAGCTAGTAAGATTTTCTCAAGGATGAAAACTACAATGTCCACCCACATTATCCAAGTTCTTGTGCTGTTAATAATATTTCCTCTTTTACTCGCTAATATGAGTTTTACCATTCCAAATAATGTCATTCTTTCAATGGATAACAAGGGATCCACTTTATCCACAGATTCACAATTCATCCATGAATCTGAAGAGGTCCACAAATTGTCATGATTTCCTTTTCAGTCCACAAAATAATAGAAATGGTTGAGGATTCAATGTAATACGTTTTGAAATCATGCATGATTAAATTATTCTAATCTAATCCAACAAAGCTTTGAGGCCAAACATGAAATATTTCAGACCATTCAGCTTTCAGCTCATCAAATGACATCCTGGTATCTGAATAGTATGAAAGCAAGCCCTGTATTCTTAGAAATCTTTTTGGATTCCATAATTTAAAAACTATTTTTTCCCCAACACAAACAGACTGCTTCCTTGAACTTTCCAGCACTTTTTTAGAAACAACTTCACAAAAAAACAAAAAACAAAAAAAAAAAAAAATACAGTCTCGTCCCTCAGTTCATTCAGTCTCAAGCGATTCTCCATTTGGGTGTTTATTTTATAACTTTTAACTTGAGTTTTGCATTTAATTCCAGTGCTTCCAGTTTCATCTCCTCTACATAAATACACCAGTGACATTGACTCAGTGTCACTTTTCTGCTTTGTTCCCAGTCTCTATGAGAACTCTATCATTGAACTTTTCTGCTCCCTGTATTTTCATAGCTCCTGCGAGTTGCTTAGATAATTTTTCTCTTGATCCACTTCACTTTTCAAACTTTACCATGTCAACTTTGAGACTTTGGAATGGGATTTTGTTCAGATCGAGGGAGAGAGACGCGTGGACAGTCCCATAATTGGACATTCAAGACATTTTGAAATCAATCATTCAATAGTTAAAAAGTTGTTCATAAGTGGAAAACATTTAAGACGTCTTTCAATCTTCTTTAGAAGGCAAGTGAGACACTGATAAAGTCATAGAAAATTACTCCTCCAAATTCTAGCTGCCAAATATGGTTGAGTTGTATTTTTGAATATTTAAGGTAAATAAAAAAAATGTAAACACAAGATTATTTTTAGCACGTCTCAATATAGACTGCAATACCTAGAATTTTGTACATCTACCTGGTTCCACGAAAACTGTTTTCACTTGTTAAGGCACGGCACCGTAGGGTGTGTGGGTTGAGGGTGGGGCATCTGTGTGTCCTGACACTGACCTCAGAAGGTTATGAGCTGTGTAAATAAATGGATCTGTTTTGCATACCTTTCATCAATATATTAATTTCTCTTCTTTAATTCTATAATTCAACATATCTAAAAGAAATAACATTCATTTTTAGAATTCGACAGCAAGGTAGAATTAAACTCTTTGAAAGGCATAAGTAGAATAACATGTTTTCACTTTCTGGTGACCTTCAAAGCAGCACAAAACCAGATTTGTGGTGCAATACAATCCAGTCTCAGTGGTCTACAAACAATTCCTTCGATCTCATGCTTGGTGTTTGTGCTCTGCCATGTATCATCAGCTGTGGGAACCTTATATAGAAAAGTGTGTGTTTCTCCAAAACAAGTCCAATCAACAGAATTTATCACAAGTAGTAAGCTGTGGAAACAACCACAGCGCTGTGAATGCTACCCGGATGCACTGTGGACAGCAAAGCCCCCCCCCCACTCACCATGTTTCTGAAGTGAGCGCTGAGAGTGCCTGTAGTCTGGTGGTACTCCATCACACAGTTATTGTTAAGAATTTCTCCACTGCTCTCACTGGAACAAAAAGACAATTAGTGAGTAAATTGACTCTTCTGTCTAATGTGATGGACTCGTGTGCTAAGAATCGCAGTGCTTCTAATCTTCCACCCCTCTGGCTTCCTAGAATGGTGTCTTTCCTGTATAATTGGAATATGCAGCTATCACCAAGACCATCTTATCTACTTTAGACCAGTGAACAAACGTCTTTGAGTATGTTGTTTATACCAGATGATGCAGACCAGATGATTCAACAGTTTAATTGATTCCCCCATTTTTGCCACTAGCTGCCAAGGTGACCAGAAGATGTGGAGGATTTCTTTAAGTTAGGAAGAATGTGGAGTGAGACTGTGAAAGGGGCTAAAAATGGATTCTGCATCTACACCACAGATTCCTCTGAGCGACTGTTCAGGTTCTAGGCCTGTCTCACAGCTAAGCTGTGGAAAGAGGCTTCCACAGAAATATAATTCTCAACAAGCTCTCATTTATTGATCTCTGTGGGAAACATCTTGCATAGCCTCGAGAAACCCCACATGTGATCTGTGTTATCGCTGATTTATAATTACCAAGTAACACACTGATGTTTTTTATGTTTTTAAATTTGCATTGACAGAGAAAAAGAGTGCTATGAACTTACTTCCTTGTGTTTTCATTTTTCAGCAGTGCCTTGGCTTGCTGCTCGCTAATTATGGTTGCTTTGACCTGTGGAGGGTTCATGTGAACGTTCAATTTCCCTCCCACTAGGAGGCGTACTGTGGCAGCAAACTTGGTTTGGGTCTTCAGAACCTGGGGTGGCTGTTTCTCAATGATGAAGGTGCTGTAAACACAGAATAGAAGGTCACACAAGGAGGTAAAAGCAGAACTAACTGGTTAGTAAAAGCAAATGTAACTACAGTTACTAAATGTAACGTTAACACCATGTTAAAGTGAAGTTTTATAGAGTTTAGGACATATTTCTGCTTCCAACACAATAAATTCTGCATATTTTTGACTCCTTAGTAGGACGTTCAAAAACTATGAATGTCTAATCTTGCCATTTTTCTTTTGCCATCAGTATTACATTTTTTTCAGGCACACAGTGCCATTTGATAGCATAATCAAGTAACCATGATACCTTCTATTGAGATAAAAATGTTTTCCATATCAAACATGACTAAAAAGAATTTGACTTTGCAAAGCAACACTTTGAAATTGGGATTCTGTCTTTTTAAGAAGCTCCTGCTCTTTCCGAAACTCTGTCATCAGCACATCATCCCAGCAATGCTTCTCCATTCAGCTTTTAACAACGTTTTTACCAGCATTGCACTAAGAAGTAGCTCATAAAATGAACTCAGCTGATGCGCAGCTCCACCAAGTGTTTGCTAATTGCTGCTAACTAGTTTGAAGGAGCTGAGTGGAGAGTTGTCTGAGGCAAAACACTAATTGGAAACTGCCAAGGAAAAGGCTGCGCTCGGTTTCCCCAAGTATTAAAGCACCTCGAATGGATGTCACAGTAGATTGATGGATTCTTCAAACATGCATGAATCAATCAAAGCAACATTCCAGGTATGTTTTTGATGACAGAATAACGGAATGATATGATGTAAAGCTCAAAGCTGTTGTAATTATTCATTTTATACCCAATTTCAATTATCAATGTAATTCTAATAATAAAGTATATACATGGACACCTGCATATCTTCATTACCTTACAAATTTTGTTTAAGTTTTAGAAATCCTCCCCCTTTGATTCAGTCATGCAGGCAAATCTTAATATCTCTGGTTCAATAATAAAACACAATTTTATTGTAGCTTCCTTTAAGCATGCTTAAATGACCTTATGCATAACAATGCAAATTGAAGGTAGATCACAATAAAAATACCTCTTCGGTTGAAACTTTCTCTTGAAATATTTCAACATTATTCATTTATGTAGTAATACACAAACACGTAAAGCAAAAAGGCAGACAGAATACAATACAAACTACAACATAATCCTGCAGACCCACAGGGAGTGTGAGTAAAATTATTATGTTGTTATGAGACTCAAAGCCTTCTGATGTGCAACTGAGGTGAGTGGCGTTGGGAACACAGTTCTGTCCTTTTGACAGTGTGAAACCTCAGAAGACTTTAAGAGACTCTAAAGAGGATGTTGCCCAAGAAACAATGCATTACTGTGTAGTCACAGGCTTGTCTGTAGCCTGTCATAAATTGCTGTGACAATGACACGACTTCTATGTGCGTTATCAGTACCTGTGGGGACTATCTTATGAGGCAGCATGAGAGGGTGCTGTCAAAAACTTTAGCGTACTCCTGCTCAGATATGGTGAAAGGCGAAAAGCATCCTGGCAGATGGGCCTTTGGGGACTACAATAATGGACTGAAACAAGTTGCATGTGCCCTTTCTTTCACAATGTCTGCTTTGTGTCTCAGTAGACCTCTTTAAGTGGGTTCATCTTCCATTCTCTATCTCAAGCTATTCTAATGGACCAATGATGACTCTTTCAGACTGTAACAACACTGTTGAAGTATGATGTATAATGATAAGAAAAAAAACATTTATAGTGCTGTTAAAAGTTGTTTTCTTTATGACTAATTACTTTTGTTTTTTGCCATTTTTGTCACACTTAAAAATGTCAGGTCATTAAACCAGTTTTTATGTCAGACAAAGAAGCAGACATGTGCAAGTAGAAAAAGAAGATTTTAAATGATGACTTCCAGTCCAAACCGACCTGGCCATGGCTGAAAATATAATAACCTCCTTCACTAAAACATTTCAAAGTTGGATTTAACTTTTGGTAACCACAACCTGCAAGAGTCAGGAAATGAATTAAACAGAACCAGCTTGATTACATTAAGTAGGCTAAATGAAGAGAGGCAAACATCCAAGATTAATAAATTCAACAACAAATGAAAAACAAAGTGTGGCAAAAGAAAAGATTATTCCCTGGACTCTTGCAGACACCAGTGATAGTAATTTTCCACAAAATGGAAAAAGCATGAGATAGTGGCAAATATTCCTTGGCATGGCTGTCCAAGGACTGGTTTCAAGAGTTCACTGAGGACTTATCCAGGAGGTCATAAAAGACCCAGATCAACATCTAAAGCAGTTTAATCAGCTCAGGCCAGCGTTTAGGATCTGAAATTAAGAAAACAAAACTGGGGAAACATTTGCTTCCATGATAAAATTCTAAGGCCAAAACCTCTGGTGATCAAAAAATCCAAAAGGCTTCTCAAATTTACAAAAATAGAAAAAATAAAAAAAAATCCCTAAATGATCTCCAAGACTTTTCAGTGATTCCACAAACTGTGGACTGACAAGACATGAGAAAAATTGTAGGTGTATGTCCAGTTACACACAAATGGTTTGGTGGTAGAGATCCGTAACCGTTATGCAGCCTGTACAACTTAGTGTGATTTAATTCTGCTAAAAAAAAAAAAGTCACACCATTTCAGTGTGTGACCTTAAAACAAAGATCAGAGTTTAAGCAATTTCATCTCAGAATAACAAAAAAAAAAAAAAATAAAAAAATAAAATAAAATGTGGCTAAACGAAAAAGAAAATCTGGGCCAAAATCCAACACAATATAAATGCAAACACTTAATGGCCACCTAGGGTGAAACAAGTGGCTATTAGTTTCAGGGAGGAACAATTTCATCAAACTGAGTAATTGAAATAATTAAAATTTGCCTGTTGTATTTACTCATCTTATCTTTGTTTGTTGCCAGGATGCTAAGAATTACAGAAAAGCAATCAAAGAAGAAATGTGTGCAGGGGCAAATAATTAGAGGAAGCTTAAAAGCACACACACCTGGTGACCAAAGCTGAGATGATATCTGTGATAGTGCTGTTGAGTTCATTGAGTAGCTCTTCGATGGGTCCTGGAATGGGCAGCTGTTGCCTAAGGTGCTCTGCCCTCCGAATTTGCTGCCTGTTTTGCCAAATAGTCTCAGCGAGTTTCTCACACCTGACATAAAAACACGCAAAAAACAATTCACAGATTAGAAATATGACTATTAATATTTTTAAAATCACAGCTGAAAGATGTGCTTAAATTCTGCTTAATAAAATTAGCTTAAACACATAGAAAGCCTTTTTTAGGATAAAATAAAGAGTAAATAAACAATAAGAATATCAAAGATTCCAAAGGCAATGAGTAGGAAATTGCGGAAATGCATTTTATACCCCTGTATATTTCTCTCATTAAAAGCTTCAGATAAAACCACAAGAAGCCTGCTGGAGACTAATAAACCTATAATTTCATGCTGTGTGAGGAGTTCTAGTGGCTGTGTTCTCAGCAGGAGATGGAAAAAAACCCACCAGGACTGAAGGATGTCCAAGCCCCCCTCTGGTGGGCCCCCATTGCCTGCCAGCTGTTGCCGTCTCTTCCATTGGATCAACTCGTCATCCAGAATGATTGTCTGCTGCTTTCGCAACAGCTGCAGTGTTTTCTGGTGCTTCTCTGCCAGGTCCTGCTCGAAAAACGGTCAAAGCAACCGCAAACGATCACAATGCGATTTTAGTGCTCACAGTGATGCACCCTTGAGCACAAAAATTTAGTAGCATTTGATGCATACAAAAAAAATTTAAATAATCAAAAATCAAAATCATATGCTGTACAAATGTGTAACCAAAACAAATGACATGAAGTGATTTTACTGAGGTTTCTCACCAGTCGGTATTTCTGTAGTGTGTTGGCTTCTCTTGTCAGCCATGCCTCCACAGTAGCTCTCTTGCTGAGAAGGGCAGGCTCCCGTAGCTGCCGGTCAGGAGGGGGCAGAGTGGCAAGGCTGGACAGCTGAGCTGGAGAGGGTGTGGACAAGTTAAAGACTGATGAGAACAGAGGCGGTAGAAAGTCTTTAACTTGTGCAAATACTGAATATGTTTTGCCCTCTGGCCCATAATAGTTAACTCAAAAGAAATCCCTTTAGGGTAGTATAGACTTTAAAAACTTCCATTGTGTGTTGATTCTTGTAGAAAAAAAAAAAAAGCTCTTATGAAATATGTTATGAAAACGTTTTTTTACCCCCTCAGTGTCTGGCATTAAAAAACCAAAATGTTTCCAATCTTTATCAATTTAAGATTATTGAAACTAGATCTATTTTCAAAAAGGTTAAATTAATAATATATATATTTTTACTGGCATACATGCATTCTATTTAAATCAATTATTTGCTAATTATTTTAGCAAATAATTATTGAAGTGGCCAACAGTCCTTCACAGTTGAGAGACAATTCTTAGGCAACAATCATCATCACTCTTCCGTCAATAAAAATGGTTATTATTGATAACAAACTTCACTTTTATCAGACAACAGGAAATGTGACTGAAAGTTAAAGAGCTTTTGTACTGTTTCTGGGGTAATGGCTTCTTTGTTATCTGAGCGGCTTTTCAAGCCATGTTGGTACAGGACCTGCTTTAACTGGACTTGGTGCAGCAGTAGATCAGGTGCCCCACATACGGAGGCTATTAGTCTTTGCTGGAGCAGTCGATGGGTTCCATTTCAGAGCTCAGGACCTTTGCTACATGTCTACCTCCCTTCTCATTTTTCCCATTTCCTGTCTGGTTATTTTGAAATGGAGGCCACTGGTGTGACAGTTGCTTACTAAAACGTGACATCACCAGCTGGGTTTTTACATCTTGTTTAAATGTAAAGGAATCTCTGTGTATGCACACTGCTGATTTTGAACAAATGCATTCTGGCATTTAGCAAACAGAACCAATTTTGGTAATCCAAACGGACCAAAACAGGACACAATTCAATTAACCAAAGGTTTATAAAAGCCACACACCATGCCACCTAAACATGTTTCCCCTTTATAGATTTCTTTACTAATTACCCAGCCTGTAGCTGCTCATTGCAATGTTAGTAAGTCAAATAATTAATTTACAGCAACAACAAGATTGATGTGCGTGCCCTCCGGTCTCACCCTGGATGCGAAGGCTTTCTTGGTACTGGATGATAAAGTACTCCTGGTTGTGCTGGAGCTTGCGCAGGTCATTCTCAGTGTCTTGTGTGAGCAGGCGAAGCTCCTCAAAGGCTTGGTTGATCTGCTGGTACTTCTGAGACATGCTGTCCATTATCCCACCCACTGGAGAGCTTGACTAAATAAAATGTGGAAAATGTAGAGATGGAGGAGTGAGAAAGACAAATATTTGTCCACGTGGAAAACTGAATGGTTTATTAGGATTGTTAATACAAATGGGTAGCCACTGGTGAACTGTTATTTTAGAGGCCTCGGGATGGGATGATGGGAGCTCTATGTTGCTGTTAGCGTATTTGACAACAAACTCCCCAGTGACTAACAGCAAATACTGTGGAAACACAGAAAACTGACATGGAAAAAAAAATGCATGAGGGCTCGCTGGTAGGCTATGAGTGCACCATGGTGCCATGAAGGTTCAGGCTGAACAGCATGAAATTAATTTGGTCGCAGTCAATTTTGCAAATAGAAAAAACATATTGTGACTGAAAATCAATTCAGAACAGGACTTAGTGGGAGTCAGATGTTTCACGCACTGTTGGTTTCAGGGTTTTAGAACTCAGGGCCATTGAGTAAACTGAAAAAAAAAAAACAGCAGTTCATATGGCATTAAAATGAAGTCAGCTATAAAATTGAAAATACTCTAATGTGCTAATGAATCACTTTTACAACAATGTAATACACGGGCTGACATTTGGTGGACAAACAGCGAAAAAAGAGAGCAGTTTTCCAATTATCCAATTTCTGGATCATCATGTAATTTAGGCTTCACTCAGTAATGTTAGACTCATTGAAGGCTTTGGCATTATCATTGGATGGAGGTGTGTTTGGATGTGTGTGCGTGTGCAGGCAACACACTGCAAATGCCATCTGCATCAAACTTACATTTGTAGCCTCTCTGATGAGCCTCTGCTCTGTGTAAAGGATGTGTTTGATACACCGAACCAGCTCCAGAGGACAGCGGTCATACGTGCTCTGAAAGAAAAGGAGAGCATGAACCATGTTAAGACCAATTTAGGATCGTCAGAGAAGCTTGTTAAAATCTGGAGTGAATGCTGGAGACATGCTAAAATCAATTAGCACACCTCAGTGACGGAAATCACAACTTTCCATAAAGATAAGAGGATACTGCGGTACTTTCATGGTGACAGATAATTTGTGAAATTGCCTTTTTTTAAACTTAAAATAAACATCTAAAAGTAAACAGATTAAAATCCACTATATTAAATATGAGCCCAGCATCATGCTTACTAAGTTATTCCATCTGTATTTCCATGCCAGATTTCAGGCTTGGGAAGAAGCTAGTCACAGGAATATTTCTGTGAGCAGGGAGTTTGATCATAAATAGCAGTGTTGGTTGGTTACCGTAACTGACTTGGGCTGTTCTCTTGTTTTCCTCCATGTGGATACAACCTGTTCTCAAAACACTCACTGTGTTGTGTGCTCTTTCTAAGAACCACTACAAGGAAGGAAACTGAGCTGAACACCTGTGCCTTCTAAACATTTATCCTGTTTCATTGTAAGCAACTCTAATATTTTGCTGAAAACATAACCTGGCACCTTGTTAGCTTCTCTTTTTTTTTTTTTTTTTTTACTCACATGAGATCACATGTATTTTCATTGACTGAAACAATTTTAAAATTAAAATAATAATAAGATTATTTGTTCATTAGTAGCTACTGCTTCACCTGTCTCACTTCATACATATTTCACATGAATGAAAACATCCAAGTTATGATTGCAATTAAAAAGCATTTAGAAAAAGACAGCTATCCATCCAGCTAAATACTTGTACTCATGTAAGTCAAAATGATGATGATGATGAGGATGAACGTTATGCTGGAACTGCGACAATTTTGTTGTCTGATCCATTATGGTACAACGAGGTAGAATCAGCGGTCTTCAGTGTCTAAGGCTTTTGTTAACTGTCTCTGTAGAAAGTATAACTACATTAGCAGTTTATTTGTTGTTATGAGACCTCACTCAGCTTCCATGGCTAATATCAGCATTTATTATTATCTACACAAAAGTTCTATCCAGTGTGCTTTTTAAACTTGCTTCAAGGAATGTTCCTTGAATTTTTGAAAATAGTGTTTAGCAATAGCATTTCTTTGAAGAAGAGCACAAGCAGAGGAAGAACTTACAAGTCTAAAAATGTCAAAATAAGCTGATCAGAACTGAAAGACGCATTTAAAAAAAATAGGGAAGAAAATTCACCAAAAACCTCACAGAAGATCTTTACGGCACATTATCTATCCTTTAGCTGATCATTATTTGATGTCATCTTAATGTGTAGACAAAAACACAGGATCATTAATTGAGTTTCAGAGTCTTTTTTTTTATGCCTAAATGGTTTACATGTCAGGGGTAATTGACTTAACAAGCACAAGCAAAATGTCAAGTAGTGCAATATAAAAAACAAATGAGAACCTTTAATAAGACCTCCAGAAAACCCAGAGAATATTTCACACCAACATATATAAAAACTCTGGGTTTGTTTACAGCATAACAAATAGGAGTGACTCAATAGATAAACAAAACTAAAAACTAAAATTACCTTGAGTTGGTTAGCATAGTGACCCAATTTGATTTTAAGAAGGAAGCCATCTTCTCCAACTTGGTGCTCAGCCTTGTTTTGCAGCTCTTGTATCAGACTGTCCAAGAGGCGTTTAGCCTTGAACTCCTCCTGCGGATTCTCCAAATCTACAGCATCCCTAACAACACACATATACATGCACGCAAAAGAAATGTGAAATTCATGCGCATGTACCAGTGGCAGAAGGACTCCTGAAGCCTTGAACGGAAACAAAACTCACCAGAGCTGGCTCTCTATCCAATGGGATAGATAATGACGGACTTCAATGGGGAAGTGCTGGCCATACAGTGACTGCATCTGGTGAAGAGCATCTCCCTGAAGCTGCTGGGCCTGGATCCACACTGCCATCATCAACACCCTGAAGCTGCAAAGGAATCACATGATTAGCACGGTCAATGACAAAGCTTAAAGCTGAGGTCAAACAAAGCAGGTTGTCTAAACACTGTCTAATTGTGTTAGACAATTAAACAGTTTACAAAGGTAACTGTGCAAATGACTCCTGAAGAAGTCGGCATAACAAGCAACCAATGCTGGATTTCAACTTTCTTTGATACTTTCACAATAAGGAGTGGTATGTCTGTACATTTATACAACGTATGTTTTCTGAAACAAGCAAACAAAACAGAAATGTGCAATGCTTTTGACCACAACACAGAACTTAGACAGAACTGAGTGAGGCTCTAAAATGATACACTGTAATTCTATACAGTGAGCTTTATAAGATGTCAAGATTAAAATGTAAAACTTTAAATCTTTTTGATGATGTACATGACACTGAATGGTTTTTTGGTCTAAATACATTTAGATTTGTCAAGGCTTTTAGGAACACTACTGATTCAGTGCCAACAATAATGGACATGTGAAAGTCAAGCACAACTTCTTTTTAGTGAAAGACTTCTTCAGAAATCAAAAGTAAACGCCTGGAGGCATTCTTGAGATCACTGTCATGTTATTGGTCTAAATATGAGCTTTACTATGCAAAAGGAAACCAGCTATAAAGTCTTTTCCAGTCAACTGAGGATTCTTGACCACTTACCTATCAGAAATGGTGACATCATTTGACTACTGTATTTGTCTGCCATTTCCAAGAGGTTTTGTCATCATGCCTTTATCTTTAATCTTTTGAAGTATGATTCCAATTGTGTGTCAAACCAGTTCAGGGTATTTTCTTTCTTTTTGTCTTTACTCCTCTTTGACAATTCATTTGATTCAGCTATATTTTTAACAAGCAACAAATTACCACATGTTTAAGGTTTTCCATCTGAAGAATACTTGATGCATCAAGAGAAGCCTTTGACTGATTGCATGAAGTAGGACTGAGACCATGGCAGGTTGGCAACTATGTCCAAACAAGATAGTAATTCTCTGGTTTGCATGCAAAACTGTTAAAAGAACAGAGACTTAAAAATGAAGAATAATCTCAAAAACTGCATGCATGGAAATTTGACTAAAATTGGAACACAAATGACTAAACTTCCTGAGGAGCAAAAACTTCCTCAAAGTTGTTTAGTTTTTCCATCTTAAACCATAGCAGCAAGCTCCTGATATCTCTGCTAGACGCCTGCTTTCACTCTGAACAAGGCTTAAACATGTTCTTCAGTTATCCTTAGGTTAAAAGCTGTTGTGCTGGGTCAATGCCACTTGTTTCCAGTCAACACACCCACTCAGTTTTCTCAAAAGTGGCTCAGTCACTGTCAGTAAAAGGCAAAGAGAAATGAGTATGCGGGAAGTTTGTGGTGTACATTTGTCATGTTTGTGTGTGCATGAGTATATTTGTAGGTGTTTGTGGTGTCGGTGGTTCTGCTTGACATTGTGTGCATCTTTTGTGTGTATATCTGCATGTCTAATTCACACAAAGAGACCTACACATAGCTTCTTTACTATAACAAAACAACCAAACACAAAGGGAAGTTCTAGATCCTGTGTCTCTCGCACGTCTCTTTCACTTTTGTTTTTCAGCAGCTTATTTCCAAAATCTTAACTTTCATTTATACACGCGCTGGTAGCTTTTGTAACTTTCTTCTTCTTTAAATACAATTCCTTTTAAGGTCTCAAATAAGTCAAAAATCGAGAGATTCAGTTACAAAAAATGTTGCACATAGTTGCTAATAATGCCTGAAAAAAAAAAGGCTGCTTTACTGCCGATAACAAAACAACTTTGTTCTGAAAAGAACATCTCATGACTTCAACACATGACTTTCTGTCATATGTCGAATGAGTTATTAGCCAGCTGGTAAATAAATTTATTTAATATAAAACTCAAAACTCTGTTCTTCATCTCATGTGACCTTTTGAAAGATGTCTGCTGTGTTGCAATTTACCCCTCAAATGACAGCTGGGCCTAATATAGCCTACATGTACTAATCAATTTCTACTAAGGGTGACTCAAAGCACCCTTCACAATTATTGATAAGCCTGCTAAAGATGTGCACAAAAGACTTAGAATAGAAGGTTGTTATGGAGATCTGGAGACCCTAAGAAGGCATGCTTTGCTGCAGTTTTATAACAGTGAGCTTTGGGTTTTCAACTTGGCTCGTCCTCTAGCCTGATCTCCAATATTGTTTCGTTTTCATAATTGCTTCATAGAAACTATTAAAAGGGGGAGGATGATTGTTGAAATGCCTTGCTGCTGAAATGTGCTATACAAATAAAATTTGATTTGATTTTGATTTGTTTGAAATCAACATTTCTTAAAGATGAATAAATTATTTTACCTTTTTTTTTATAGAAGTAGGGTTCACTTACTGTTTTTATCTAAATTTTTCAATCTAAGCTGAACGCATTACAACAAGCACATTTATATCAAGCCTTTTTCCCATCCTCAGCATGGGTACCATCAGGCTTAGAGGTCACTGCACATCCTTAGATGCTATCTCTAGCATTGCTCAAAACTTTGCATTTGTATCACCTTGAATATATTGATGAAAGACTTTTACTAAAGGTTAATTTCTAGAGATCAGAGATGTTTGTGCTGCTGAAGTATTCAGGATTTCTATGTGAAGCTGACCTCTTAATATTTTTTTTGAATGAAATACATAATAGTTGGTTGGTTTATGCTTCTTTTTATAAAGGCAATAATGAAGCAGAAAAGTCGAACAACATGAGTGAGGCTATACGCTTTAAAAAAGCAACACGCTATGCACCCGATCTAAAGAAATTCAAGAACAGTTGAAATACAAAGTCACACATAAGTCCAAAAAACTTTACTTGGCTATTTTTAAGACTTTAGGACAGAGGGGATCCTTCCCAGAAATGTTTGATGTATCAAAATAAATCTAAGGACACATAACTTCACTGAGACGTTTGAAAACCAATTGAGATTTTTGAAAAGATTACACAGTTCCTCTATAGTGACATAAGGAGAAATATAATTCACATTTTTATTTCTTTAACAAGTGAAATAACTGTCAACTGTATTTTACGTTTACTCAGGTTATCTTTCCCTGATCATAAAATGTGCTTGCTAAACTGAAACCTGTCACTGTGAAAACAAATCTGTAAGGGAGCAAATACACTTTCATTTCACTAGAGTTGTTCCTGTTAAATTCATCATCTTTTATCTCTCTCAGTCGTTCAAATGAATAAAAAACAAGTGAATCCCAAAAAGACAAAATAAGTGAAATTCAAATGTGAGACATAGACATTTTATCTGCCAGGGAATCAGCAGCGAGCATCAGCACATGAGCTATCAGCTGATTGGAGGAAGAAACCAACAGGAAGAGCAGAAAAATCTTTCTACCAGCTCTTTCTGTGACACCCACTGTGTGTAGCTTTGTTTCTTAACCATTCGTGCGTCAGACACATATGCCCACAAAGAACTGGTGGGAACTGAAGCTAAAAAGTTTTGTTGTGCTGCTTTACAAATCTGCCTGACACTTTAACAGCTGTTAATGGTGCAGGCTACTGGGACTGCTCACCACAAACACTTCCATTCTCACCTCTAACAGGAAAGTAACATCTTTCCCAGCAAAAAGCTTCACTATTTCCACAGTTTCTAAATACATTGAAATGAACAGAAGACATCAAACATCCCTATTTTTTTCCTTCTCACAACGGGTACAAGACAACTCCTGCAATATGGCATGGCTCTAGAGGGGAGGAGAAAAAAAACTTACCTTCAGGTTTGCGCTACTATGTAACAGCAGGAAACTCTAAAGTGGAGCACCACTAACCTGTGACAGACAGAAAGTGAGAGAGTAAAAGAGACAGACAACTAGAGAAAGAAAGACAGAAGAGATAGAGAGACCAAATGGAGGAAGTGAGTCAACCTTGGGTGCTTCTGAGGAAGCTTTCTATTTCTCACAGAGAAGAGAACTTCAACAAAAGGCCCGGGGAGGTTCAGAAAAGGGTGAAAGGAAAAGTCCAGTGAATGGATTTCTCTTTATTTCAGTTCTCCATATCTTGACAATAAGCTAAAATAATTATGAAAAGCATAAATAAAAAATAAAAAAAACAACAAACGCTTCATCAGGCAAATGCTTCGAAGTGTTATTATACAGGAATTCAAAAGATGCAGCAATTAAGACATTTGTGGGACAACAGCAAAAGCCACAACGATGTTAGAAATGGGGACTGGAAACTGTCTTATTTTAAAAGAATGAAACAAAGTAATTCTGAGCAATTACTAGAGAACTTTAATGTGCTTATTTGTGAAACTCAAGAATGATTACAATTACTTCAAATATTTCTGGATTTCTGAAGACTATTATATAATTGCTCTAAAAGGTGTAGTTTATTTTTAAAAAATATGTAAATTTATATTCTTTTTTTAGAGTAGTTTCATACAAAGTAAATGTGTGAATTGCATCACACAAAGAATACAATTTCCCATGACCGTACTAATGTTGTAATGCAAGTTAATAGTGTCTTGTACTGCATCTTGTCTCCACCCATTGAGGATTTGATGGGGCTACGGGGTGGTCCACTCCAACAAAGAAAGTCTTTGTTGGAGCACCTAAATGTCTTTAGGTGAGTTTTAATGAGCTACCAGACTTATTTATTTTCTGATTTACTCAAATTGTGTCATTTTTTTGTGACCTTTACAAGCCTGTGTTAAATCACTCACCCCTTACCTATATGGCCTTCTCCCTTCTATATGTGACATCAATATCATAAAACTCCTGTGTTGACTTTCAGTTTCAACGTACAACTCCAAGATGAACAACAGCTACTGAAAACTTTCTGGAGATAACTTTGCCTACCTTAATATAAAACCCTGCAACCCTAACCCATACCCATACTGAAAACAAATACTGGCAAAACCTTTTTATTAACAGCACTAATTCCTATAATATAGAAAAATGTTTAGCCCATCTAAATTCCCATTCATTAATTTAATTCCAATACCATTAAATCAGAAACCCA